GCACCGACGACATTGGATGTGACGGCGGGACGCACCATCTTGCGAGTGAGGTAGGTGTTACCTTCTGGAGTTCTCCTGTTGGAGGGTCGTGACGGCGTTGTTTGGAAGGATCATGTGCGCAATTGTGCGCCATGCCACCTCCCAAACGTAGATGGCACTATGGACCCAAGCTTAGCGATAGTACGTGCTGGCTTGTGGTGCATGCTGTGTGGGTCAGCTGGTCAGGCGGCCCGTATGTTGGTGTGTGATAGGTGTTCTAGGGGATGGCACATGTTGTGCCTGACTCCGCCTATCTATGTTATTCCGGCTGGACGATGGGTTTGTCCTCGATGTACTTCATAGGGGTAGATGACTTGATCTTCACATGTTATGAATTGCAGATAGGTGACTAACGATGGGGCAACATAGCACCCGGCCTACTGGTTCGCGCACCCACGAAGGTGTATAGCATGTAGTTGTAGATAGGGCTACCTGGGAGTCAGAGGGACCTGACCGCCAGCTAGGGGGGCGAGTTGTGACATTTGAGTGTGTACTCTCTCGCGCCTTATATGTGTGTATGTGTGTGCGTATGTGTATGTGAGTAGCATGTCAGCGATGTAGAGTGTATGGCGATATGTATTCGCACGACAGCTGTCATGTAGTTACGAGTCGGCTCACGAAGTTTAGACACTTACTATATTTAGCCGTGAAGTTAGGGTTCGGGTCACGAGGGGTATAGAGTCGGGGACGGCTCGAAGAACGTTAGTTCTTCGAGTCGAGCCTGGAAGCGTTGGGAGCGTAGAGTGATTTTCCCCTTTGCGTCGACCTGGATTCTCCGAGTGTGGAGTGGGTTGGGCTCGACTCATGTTTGTGACGGTGACGGTTTGTTGCCAGTAGGGTAATCGACCGACGGGAATTCCAGTGGGGAATTTCCCGCCCTTTTCAGTTGTGACATTTGAGTGTGTACTCTCTCGCGCCTTATATGTGTGTATGTGTGTGCGTATGTGTATGTGAGTAGCATGTCAGCGATGTAGAGTGTATGGCGATATGTATTCACACGACAAACCCTTTAACCAGTTTCCTATCTTTTGGTTCATTTTGAACATGCAACATTATGAAAGGGGTCGTATGGCTCTTACGGGGCTAATCTTTCATGCATTGAGTCAGTCACAACAACTCAATTCAAGGCACTTCTTCGTCCATTTAATTGCAAAATAATGTACTTTGTGATTCATGCCTATAACTCTGCAACCTCTATTATCAAGAATATTGTTTTGAAAAAATCTAGAATGATATCTGAAGTAGTCTTGTGTTAACTAGAATAACCGTACCAATAATAATTTGAATAATTTAAATAAAAATATTACTTTATTGCTAGCATTATTACTACTTGTACTCCTTATGCAAAATTTTCATAAAAGTATATTACTTATCATATTTTTTCACATGAATAAATTTAATTCAATGCACTAGCACTATTGAGTTCATCACTAATATTGAGTATTTTAAGTTTCCTATTAAATTTTTCTTTTTTTTTATTAGAATATATGATATGTTTGTGCTTCATCCAAATATTTATCATTTGATTTGCTACAATATGTTATCCATTTCAACTATCATTATAAGTTTTATAACTATCATAAGTAATTCCAACCATCATAAAAAATATCAATGTTTTGTTGCTGAGGTTAACTCGAGTTATATGTATATATATTATTATAATTATAATAAAATTGATGGATTATAACAATTCATCTCTTGATTTTGACTCATGAAAGATCTGAATATAATGACTATCTAGATTTATAGTAAGATAATTGCTAGCTTTGAAGATTATTGTTATACATAAGTATTTGTGTTGTGATGTTGGTTATGATAATGATATAGGTTATGATGCATATGTATGTGCCCGAAAGCATCAAATGATTTTAAAGTCACATAATGCAAAAGTCATCAAGAAAATCATCAAATTTATAATAATTTGAAATAAAAAATCATAATTTTTTTAAGTTTTCAACATTTCTATAAATATTTAAATGCACATGTCTTTAATCAATATATAAATTTAATAATGCAATTAGCATGATAATCATTTCTTTATTGCTTCAAACATGAAAACAATAATATATTTAACACAACATTCTTAGTTTATACAACATCATTGCTTTACCAAAAGCAAACGAACTCTAATGTTTAATTTTTTATTATTCTAGAACTTTTTAACTATCAATGCTACAATGTAAAATCCACCATTAAAAACAACTAAAATCTAAGAGTTGTGAACTTAGATTAAAATCTTATGTTGAATATTTATTTTAAATAATTTCAATAATGGAAATTTCAAATGATTAATATTTTATTTTTTAATAATATTCTATAATAAATGTATTCTTTTATATCATTCCAAGTCAATCATAAAAAATCACAAATTAAGGAAAAAATGAATACATAATTACTGACTTTGAATATTGCAAGTAGTTTATGAATGATTTTAATTTTCTTGTATAAAGAAAAAAATAAATAGGGTTACAAACATGTAATTGCAAAAACATTTGAGTGAATAATTAGTTAAAATCTTGTATTTTAAATATTTAATTGCTTCATGTCATGATTAACATTTGATTGATTCAACTCACAATGCAATTTTGTTCAATAAAATCTAAACAATTGCTTAGAAATTTGTAAGCTGATCATTAATCAATAGTTTCATCTCTTTCCTCAATCTTGCAAGATTGAGGAATTATTTCTTCTAAAATAACTGGGCAATTTATCATTTTACCAATCTTGCAAATAAATTTTATTCAAAAGCATCGCCATTCTTATTCAAGAATTCATAGCACTATCTTGTCTAAAGAAAAATTTACAATCAATTTTAGACTGGTCAACATGTATAATCTGTGATTAATGTCGGCAGGATTATATTTTTAGAACAAAAAGAGCCAATTATGTTAATTCTTATTTTGCGTTAATAAAAGGTTTTTCCAGCATTTTCAAATGATACTAGTTACATTATAGATTAATCATATTCAAACCAACTAGCCTAAATCAACATTTGAATCAATTTCTAAAATAAACCTGCTTGATATATTTATCTTTTGAAGATAAATTCATAATCATAAATCATAGTATGATAAAAAATGTAGTTATATATATAAATTACTGTACTAGATGTTATTATTTTAAGAAAATTCATATCACAATATTAAATCTCAGGATCATTTGAAATAGTTTTCATTTTTCTTCAATATGTTAATCAATGAGTGTGGTGATATTTAATACATATTTTTTAATATATAATTACAAATTTTCAAACATATATAGAATTATATAAATATTTAAATCAAGATTCATACATTGAAATACTTTTAACTTATAATACAATGTGCTCCGTGTGAAAAAAAAAACAAAATTTTTAATTATAAATTGTAACTTACGTTAAAGAATTAACTTTTAAACTTTTTTATGAAATTTACTATATTAAATTCTTAGATAGAATTAATTATATAAGTTATTTAAAAAAATTTAAAAAATTTATTAAAATTATAAATTTTTTATATAAAATTATTTTTTTAATCAAAATTTTGCAATCTTCATATGATGAGGATAAATAACATTCTTTTAAAACTACCTCAAAAGAGTTTTCAATAATTTATCAAGTAAACATCTATCAATATTGTTTAAACAACTTTGTGTTAATCAATGAATATGTGCTTCTCTTACCATGTAATCCCTAAGTCTATCAATGTAACAACATCAATATACTTGTAAAAAAAATAGTACTTTAAGTTCATAGATTGTATGTATGTGAGTTTCAACCAACAAATTCAAATCATTTATTGAATATACAGATCGTTACTTTGTTGTCAGTTAATAATTCTTTCTAATCAAATTAAGAGCTCTAATTTCAATTTGACATATCATTATTTAAAATACTTTGAGATGATTACAAATTCATTTACACAAGTATTTTTTTTATAGAGATGAATATTTATTTTATAATATTCTATTTGTAAGAAAATAATGCAACATCAAAATCACAATGACGTATAATCTTAGACATATTCCAAATAAAAAATTCATGAAAAATTTAATATATTCATGATGAAATAGAATAGTCAAAATGATCATTTCAAACTAAATTGATATAAAAAATCTAATTATTTGAAAAAAAAATAGCTACAATACACACTTGAAATACATAATTATTATTATTTATATATTTTTTGAAAATTATCAAAATTAATTGAATAAATTATGAAATATAAAGAATTCAAACTATAAATAATGTATATGATGTATGGGAAAAAGTTGCACACAATCTCCCACAAATACCGAGCATCTATTATATTTATGGAATAGTATCAGCTAGGCGGTTGGAATTGTCCAATTGATGTGATTATATTGATATCCGTCATTTCATCGATGGAGATGATTTTGAATGAAAAATTGTTGTGAATTCATATTTAAGTGCTTTATTTTTTCTTAATTCATTTTTTCTACATCACATGATATTTATTGAAGTTATATGATTTAAATGATACTCAAGAATTATATTCAGCCTTATGATAATTTATTGACTTTTGACATGAAGTAAACATCATGTAAAGTAGATAATACTCGGGGATAAAAGGATTGATTAGATCAATATGCGAAATATGATTGCATATATATATATATATATATATATATACAAATAACCATCAAAACAATGAACAAATACCTTTTGCACAATCTCGAACTGAGTGGCACTATTTCGCTTTCCGTCATTCTAATTATTTATTATTTAACCTACCTTTAAGAGGATTAGAATATGTGCTACAGATTAGTGGTATTAGGACTAAAAAATACCGTTTGGTTCGGTCCATGGACGACTAGATGGGGTCTTCGCATCATTTTTGCTCTATTACTCGGTGCGAGATCCGAGGGACATACTACGTCAGACGATGACGGGCATACCGGGCACACTCGGAGTGCCATGTGTTCGATATCCTCCATCCGCCCGAAAGTTTGTCTCGTGTCTGAAAATGAAAGAAGCCATATCCGAAGCTCCAGTGAGGGAACACTCTTCCCCACAGTGAGGGGACAGAACGGTCGGTTGTAGACGAGTTGTCACTGGATTCACTGGGGCCATGACTCGGCACGAGTCGTTGTAGCACCAGGAGAGCTCTCCCAGACCAACGTTATGGCGAACGTCCAAGCGTTTTTCATCTCGTCGTCATGTTCGGTGGTGGCGAATCCTCGACATTCCGTGCATTCCTGCCGGAGTTCAGTCGAATCCGCTTTCAGTCCTTTTCATAGCCATGGCAGAAAATGCTCGAATTCTGCTCGAATTGGGCTGGTTCCTCTGGGCCTGCAGAGGAACCAGCCCAATTCTACAACGTCGGCACGTTCCAATTTTGCATCCCCACCTTCGCCGCAAGGCGGTCTTACAGGATTGTCGAAACTCTCAGGACTCACGTTCAGCTCCCAGTTTTCCTTCTATGTCTGCGGTAGAGTGTCCGAGAATCATTTGTCGAGATTTTTGGAGAATGGAATTCGAAAGCCACTGGTATCGACAGCTGCTTTTCTCAGAAAGCACGAGGAGTCTGATGGGAGCGTCGCACAAGGACGAGGAGGAGTAGGCAGGGGAGGGCCACCCGACGGGGGCGGAGGAGGTGACGCCGTAGATTGGATACTCGGTGCTCTCATTCTTTCTCTCTGTGCGGGATTGATATGTTATGGTCTTCTTTTGTCATCTGATGAAGCTTCGGTAATATATCTCTTGGTCCTCTGAACTCATTCCTTCTTTGTAAATCTTTCCTCTGAACTGTATACTTTTGAAAGGCGTTCAGAGTGTTGCCTCAAACGGAGCTGGCTCCTTTTCCAGGGTTTATGTAACAGAAAGCTGTAGCATCAATTTAATTGTTTCGGAAACTGAGATTTTGATCACTGATCACTGTTGTAAGTTCGATGTTTGCTGCTTGTTACCTGCATTTTTAGTTCAAGTGTTGTACTGGTTAGATTTTTTCCTTACCATTTTGTTCTCTGGCGTGCAGTACAGAGACATGTACGATTTTTGGAAGCTATTTGGTTTTCAAGGAAATGATGGAGTCGCCATGGACACAGTTTGGACGGGAGAATGGTTCATCAAGGGATTATGGCCTCTTGCATTTCTCTCTCCCGGTGCTCGGCAATGCGAACAGCAGGGTTTAGGGTTTTACTCTCAGATTCCTGCGCATGCAGAGGTTGGAGCAGGTTTGCATTTTGGAGTTGAGAGATCAAAATCAAACTACAGAGCCGGAGGGATAATCCCTGTTGCTGGATCGGTTGGTTCTGTTGTTTGCAGAGTGGGTGGTGGTGGGGCCGTGAGGTGGGGGAGAAGTGACAGTTTGCGACGGGACGATGAAGAAGCTGAAGAATCTGAATCCTCAGGAAGCAGGGACTTGGGATACAGAGGGCCTTTCGATGAGGAGGAGGAGGAAGACGACGACGACTATGATTCTGATGTCGACGATCAGGAAGACGAAATCGTGGGATTCTACGATGAAGACGAGATGGAACTTGATGATTCTTCTTCAGTCCTGGAGATGGAAGATGCAGTTACTTCATCCGAAACTAGCGTCAATATTGAAGAACGGGAAAGCACGTCCGCTCTGATTGCTCAATTTTGCGAGAGAGTACAAGCAGGTGATGGAGTTACAGTTACTGCGGGAGACATTGCAGATCTCTACGAATTTCCTTTCGATAAGTTTCAAAGGATGGCTATTGATGGATTTTTAAAGGGTTCGTCAGTTGTAGTTTGTGCTCCCACTAGCAGTGGGAAGACACTCATAGCAGAAGCTGCAGCTGTGGCAACCTTAGCCAGGGGAAAACGAATGTTCTACACCACACCATTGAAAGCTTTGTCAAACCAGAAGCTGCGTGAGTTCAGAAAACTCTTTGGTGAATCCAATGTTGGGCTTCTCACGGGGGATGCTGCAGTCAACAGAGATGCTCCCATTCTGGTGATGACAACTGAGATCCTGCGCAATATGCTCTATCAAAGTGCTGGAGATGCTGACAATCAAGGAGGGAGACTGGAAAATGTTAGTGCAGTCGTTTTGGATGAAGTACACTACCTTAGCGACATATCTCGAGGTACAGTTTGGGAGGAGACTGTGATTTACTGCCCGAAGAGCGTGCAGCTCATCTGTCTTTCTGCAACAGTCGCAAATCCACAGGACTTAGCTGGATGGATTGCACAGGTGCACGGTCCCACGGAGCTGGTAACATCCTCCAAACGGCCAGTGCCTCTCATGTGGCACTTTTCTACCAAATACGTTCTTCTACCACTTTTGAATGAACAAGGCACAGAAATGAATTATCGTTTGTCACTTACTGACCCTAGACAAAATACCACCAACTCCTCATCTTTCTGGGACGTGGACGAAGGAGGTAGGGGTCGCAGAGGCGGTGAAGGAAGGAGAAGGTCCAGCAGCAATGGTACTGCCAGAGGCAACGAGAATGGTACAAGAAGGAGAGGAGATCGCTTTGGCGAAGCCAGAGAAGAGCTGTCGGAAGAAACGAAATCCATGCTGAGACGGAGACAAGTTCCACAAGTGAGAGACACATTACAACAGCTAGTCACCAGAGATATGCTGCCAGCTATTTGGTTCATTTTCAGTAGAAGAGGTTGTGACACAGCGGTGAAATATCTAGCAGATTCGTCGTTACTCTCAGAAGAAGAGTCTATGCAGGTTAGGGAAGCTATAATTGAATTTCAGGAGCAGCATCCAGAGGCCATCCGAGAGTCTGCTGTCGAACCACTCTCGAGAGGAGTGGCTGCTCATCATGCTGGCTGCTTGCCCACTTGGAAAGCTTTTGTGGAGGAGCTCTTTCAGAAAGGGCTTGTGAAAGTTGTTTTTGCAACCGAAACTCTTTCAGCTGGAATTAACATGCCGGCTCGGACGACCGTCTTGTCTTCTCTCAGCAAAAGAGGAGACAATGGTCATATGCTCCTCTCTTCAAACGCCATGCTTCAGATGGCAGGGCGTGCAGGTCGCAGGGGAATCGATGAACAGGGTCATGTAGTTGTAGTTCAAACTCCATTTGAAGGAGCCGAGGACTGTTGTAAACTTCTCTTTGCAGGTTCGGATCCACTTGTGTCGCAGTTCACTGCGACGTATGGAATGGCACTTAATCTCTTGGCGGGAGGAAGGGTCCAAAAATTGGGGGCTAATTCCGATATTGAAGAGCCCAGAACTGTCACATTCGGACGAACTCTGAGTCAGGCACGAGAGCTGATCGAGCAAAGTTTTGGTAACTACGTTGGCAGTGAGGTGATGGTTGCGGCCAAAAAACAGCTGACCAAGTTGGATCAAGAAGTGGAGCGACTCGTGCAGAAGACTCAGACATTGGATGGATCGCAAACCTTAGAGAGCCGGTTAACAAAAACGGAGCTGCAAACATATCTGGGTTTCAAGGAGGCCGTGAAGGAGAGGAAGGCTGTGCTTTCAAAGATGAGGAAAGAGTTGGAGACCAAGCGAGTCGCCGCTCTTGAGCCACTTTTGATGGAAGGTCAGCTCCCCTATGTCTGCATTTGTTACTTCGATCCTAGGACAGGATCGGAGTGCCTCGTCACAGCTCTGCTCGTTGGGAATGTGCCTAAACCACCCTTCATCTCTTTCAACACACGTGATCCAGAAGAGGACGGTGACGTTTTGGAGGAACCGTCGTCGCTTGCGGATAATATTTATCACGTAGCTCTAGGGCCCGACAACCGCTGGTACCTTTTCACCGCGAAATCCGTCAAGGGCTACTTCAGGAGTAATCTGGAGGAGAATGTTCCAGAGAAAGCTGCAAGAGAAGCTTTGAAGGCGGAGCTGCAAGTGGGCGCCAAATCATGGCAGACGCTTGGCAAGGCTGGAACAGATGCATCCAGTGCTGTCTGGGTAACACAGAGCTCCCCCGAGACCAAGGCATGGAGCTCCCAAATTCCTGCCTCCACAGATTACGAGATACCGGATGATCTGCAGTTGATCGAGGCTCTTGTAACTCAAGAGAGAAAACAAATTGCACAGTTACGCAAGAAGCTGAAAATGACAATAGGATACAAAGAGAATCAGCAGCTGGTGGTTCTACAGAGGTCAAGGTTTGAAAAAATCGCCCGTTTGAAACAAAAGGCAAACAGACTGGCAACTCGAATTAGTCAGATGGCACCATCAGGGTGGAAGGAATTTCTACAGGTGGTGGAGATTTTGAATGCTGCTGAAGCAATCAACTTGGAAAACAGTGAGCTACTGTCTCTTGGCCAAACCGCATCAGCGGTTCGCGGAGAGAATGAACTCTGGCTGGCCATGGTATTTGCTAGCGAACATGTAAGATCGCTAACAGCTCCGCAGCTTGCTGCAGTATGTGGAACTCTTGTGTCTGATGGAATCAAGACTCGCCCAGAGTATGGTCACAGTGTTATGTATGAAGCCTCCACTGCAGTCCAACAATGGGTGGATGCAATGGAAGGTGCGCGGGGAAGACTGCTGGGTTTACAGGCAGAGCACGGAGTCTATATACCATGCTTGATTGATATACAATTCGCTGGGATGGTAGAGGCTTGGGCAGCAGGTGTCACCTGGAAGGAGTTGATGACGGATTGTGGTATGGATGAAGGAGATGTAGCACGGCTTCTTCGAAGATCCATCGATCTTCTAGCGCAGATTCCCCACTTGCCTCACGTCGATCCAGGTCTTGCCAAACTTGCAAGACAAACAACTCATGTTATGGATCGACCTCCTATAAGTGAGTTACTGGGTTGAAGATTGAAATCATCATAGCAAATGAAGTCCAGGTTTTAGATTTTTGGGATGATGGGATCAGATTTCTGGGTTTAGGTAGTTTCTTTCATGGAGATGACAGAAACTATCTTTCATCTCCATGAACCTCACTTTGAACCCTTTCGGTAGGAGCTGCACTCTGTTGTGAATATTCTGTAGCTTTGTACAGACAATGATGTATTATCGATCACACGTGATACACACTGTGAAAACTGCCCAAAGAACTTTGTAGCATGGATGTAAAGTAGATATATCAACAGGATTCTTTACCATGCAGTTTTTTACCATTCATAAGCCATTCACGGGTGTACCTTTTCTATGCACCCTGGGTGGATAGAGTTCTTTGATTAGCTAACTACATTAGTTAACATTCATTCCCTTCTCTTGCCTTGCGACCCCCTCATCAATTTTGAGGATGGCCGAGGCGGCAAATTAGGCAATGTGAACATTTAGTATGATCAATTTGATGCCGGGTAGATTGATGGAGAGGGCGCGTCGAGAGTTGGATGAGCTGACCTGCAGTTGTAGTTGCAGTATTTTTTATGAATCATTTTCTCACAAGAAATACGAAGTGATCCGATCCTTTGAAAAGGTGCCACAGATGAGGAGTTCATCTGTTGTTCGAATTTCTACATATGTGACTTAAAAAATCACTTATACTGATGTTTGTGCTTTCTTACACTGATACTTGAATCAAATGTTTCCGAAATAGTTGAATACAGTATTATGTTGTAACTGATATCTATTACTGTTTGCTTGAGACCGAAACAAGAATGATTTCAATGTTTGTTCTCAGGACTCCATAGCCCCCACCGAAGGCCAATGCAGAGTTCGAAATGGCTATTACTCTATCGAGCGAACATCTGCAGACCAAAACGTGGCAAAACAAGAGAGAAGAGAATGAATATTTGCTTGAATTGCTCATATAAAAATAGACACCGTAGATTGAGATTATCTAGAGTAACAATCAGTAATTTCAGTAAGAGCAATCAAGCTGCCCTGGAACAAAAACTCTGAAAGCGTCGTTGATTGAGTTCACTAAAACCAAATTCATAACCGAAACATGATAAAGTTTAATCATGTATATAAGCAATGGACTGCTTTTCCATTTTATTTTTGCTCTCTATGAAATATTTTACTAGTAGCACAAGAGTTTCAATATACTTCAAAAAAGTATTTTTGACCAATGAACCGATTGAATTATACTTGATATCAATCTTGACTTATTTAACTTTCTTATGAAAACTTCATTCCTCATAAATTGATATCTAAAGCTAATTAACTTCACTTTTCTTTTCATCACTGGAGTTTGAATAAGTTGTAATGTTTACTAACTATCACAATAAATAAAGGTTAATGACATTTTGCTTCATTTAATGTCAATGATAAGATTATGTTATAAAATATAATTCTTTGTTGTTGCTAATTCTTATATCATTGGATATTCAAATTGTTTTACGTTGACAAAGTTATACATTTCTTACAAAGTAAATCTCCAACTACAGCATCCATCTTTATATATGAAGACATACCCGGTCATAGATTTTTTCTTGTCACAATCATGGACATAGTCAACATCAACATACATCAGCATATATTTGAAACTGTTCAATAAATCAAAAAAAATATTTCATATTTTGAGTTATTCGTGAATTCACTTCCCAATTGATCTTTGCTGAATTATTAGAATTTGAATATACATGATGTTAAGGTCATAATCATATCTTATAATTGGTATAAATTTCAACTTTGACATCATAACTTTTATGGATTTCAATTTTTATGAAAAAATAGAATTATAAAATTGAAAATCAATTTTCTTACTATTAAAAAATATAAAAAATAAATTATTGTTTCATATACAATCAAATGATGGCTAAAATTTTTTTAATTAATTTAAATTCATCAATAAGTTTCACACATATTTGATAAATTTTGTAAGTTCGCATTATGTTACAAAATTGAAGTATCACAAATTGGATCATTTTGAATACATAGAGTACATTAACAATCATGATAATGAAAAAATGTAATTTGAAAAAATAGTATTAACATTCCAAATACAATAAATTCCTAATATTCAATTAAATCTAATGATATTTTAAAAAATCAATGAATAAGAAATTTTTGAATTGATTATTTTTTACATTGACAAATTTTTAACTAGTTCATGAACGCATGTTTAGATCTTTTTGCATGCAATCAAGATCATTTGTATCATAAGCTTTGAGAGCTCACAAACTATCTTGTTAATGCTTATGACTTGCCAAACAATAATTAGTGAATTGAAAATAAATATTTGAAATTCAAAATTTAGTTCTATGATTATATTTTTTTAAAAAATTGCTATTTCAAATATAATGAACCATCCAAAATATAACCAAAATACTAATTTCTGAAAAATTGACAGTTATATAACAGGAAAAGAAGAAAAAAAATCATTTAAAATATGTGATACAAAGTTTGTAGTTATAAAATTCATGGTACGTGTTTATGGGTTCTCACATATGTACTTGCAATAGTCACCAAAAGATAAGATTTCATCAACAACATCCATTTCACTCCTTGTATATTAATAACATGATAATATATTTAACAAGCACACTCTCAACAAAAATATCTCTACTACGAATGTCAATAACACATCAATATTTTATTTCATGTATATTCTATCTTGGATGACGTTAATTTTTAATAATTCTCTAGAATAAGTTAAAAATAAACTAATTCTAATCCACAATATGAAAAAACCATCATTAGAATATTAAAGGTAAGAAATTACTATAACTAATAGATCAATCAAGATGAATTATTTAAACTCAAGCCAAGGTTTTTTATTTCTTGCTCTCATATTTATTGAAAAAATCTCAAACTTTAAGTTTGAAACTTTTGATAGAAAAATTATTATATTTACTCTCATATCAGTTGAAAAAAGCTTAGACTTCACACATATATAATGATGCAAAAAATTCTTCACATAATTACTTGAGACTTCTCTACAAAAATTACATCTACGATAACATCAATATTTTATTTTGAAGTCCTAAGGTTGTCTCTTGATAGCTACAAACAGTTCTCTTATAACAGTTCTCTAAAACCCTTATCATATTAAAGGAACCTTAAAAAACACTAAATTAAAAAAAAAGTCAAATACTAAAGAAATATCAAAACATAATTGCATTCTATGTGTATCTTTATTGAAAAAATAATTTTTTAATTTGGTAAATATAAATTTATTTGCATTAATAAAAATAAAGTTAATTAAGTTAAAAAAATAAGATAAAAATAAAGTGATAAAATTATGTTTATTTTTCAACATACGAAACTCATAATATTATAATTATATATATATGCTTATTTTTGTATATATGATTTACATTATATTTACAGAAATAATATTAATGAAACCATTTGAAGCAAAAATTGATCAATGGAAGCACAAAGCACGCGATCATTCATATGTGTAAGCTAAAACATGTTAATTTGTGAAAAATATATACATTGAAATTTTTGCCAAAAAAATTTACATAATATAGAATATGAATATGTGATTCAATATTATAGATATCAATTAAATAGTCATATTTCTATTGATGATTTTAGAAAATCTATCATAATATATTTCTATTTAATAAATTGAGTTTTTATATATTAGAAGATAATACAGCTAATTTATATATTGAAAGATAAAATAAAATATACATTTCTTTTCTTTCTCTATATATGAGTAAGAAAAGAACCACAAGCATGGTAAATAAGCTTTTTTGTCAATCCAACTGTACTTATTTTCTTAAATATATCGTGTTTATTTCCTAAATAAACTAAACTACTCTTGTTCTTTTACTACATGTATTTTATATTTATCCATGATTTGCTCTTCATATCATCCATTAAAAAACAGTAATGACGTAACTACACAACAAAAGTAACATCTCCAATCAAGAATTATGCACTTGAATCAACGTTGAACCTCAATAATCATATATGCATTCTGATTTAATCACCACCATAATCATTAAGAAAAAAAATTATGTCGATGTTAAAATTTGAAAATTATCCGTGTTTCATACATCAAAACTTTATAAGATTTTATATAAGATTCTCACTTTTTATATTTTTAGATTGATTTCTACATGATATACTTGATATTACACAATCGCTTCTATAAGACAGATTTTTTAAGAGATTCTCAACTAGAACCAGACTCAACACCAATTAACACCATGCAATGATAACACAATGTTATCATCAACACTTGCTTTCAACTAATCTATAAGTGAGTGAGTGTATATATATTTCATTAAAAAATAAGAATATCTTTTGTTCAGTTAATTTTCGTAAGTTCAGATATATCCAAAGTTGCAAGACTTCACATGTCTTATCATTCACATATTGCAAAATCACATTTTGGAGTTCTCATTTTCTACAATGACATTATTTCATACCTGTGCCATAAAGATATAAGGTAAGTTAAAACTCAAAGATTTGAATATTTATTAATATATATAACTTCATGACTGTTAATCTCCAAACAAAATTCCCAATAATTATTTCAAAATATTTTCTTTATTGAATATTGGGTAATTTCACTAGTACTCTCTTTGCAGGTTAAAATGTTTATCAAAATTAGTCTTCAAATATTGAAGATATTTTCATGTCATGAAAATGATTACAAGTCATCCTCTCTCTCCCACCATGTGATGATTGATATATTTATTCATGCTTCCTTGCACCTGAATGGCTGTAAAGCAGCTACATAAGATTGGATAACTTGTTGTAATATTAATACAAGAATCATAAGAAGAAGCATGTCGATGATGTATAACAACTTTACAAGTCATATTATAATGATGATCAAAATAATTTAAGATTAAAAAATGATCTTGAGTAAATTCAAGACAAATCTTAGACAAATGGTCTGTTCAAATTGGAAAAAAGGTTTAAATATACTTTTAAAATTCTAGACAATTCTAGACACGTAAAAATGATCTGATGTTATTGATTATATATCAAGAAGATTAACTTGGACATATATTCATTCACATGTCGTCAAACCAAGTTTAGAAACTAAGTATAGATCTTGAAGTATTTATTATACATCGAGGAGACTGGCTTGAACATATACATCTACATTGTTGATGAGGTGAATGAAACTTTTTCATAAAATTCAAACTGTATGTGTAATTGAATAATGAATAATTGTCTTTTATGTGGCCATATTCACTATGTTGGTTTTTGGAGCAGTTCAAACTGGTCGAAATGATTGAAGGGACGGGCTACTGTATTCACAGGTTACTTCATCCGACCACTTTAGTATCTATCTTTAATATTCTCGCTTTCCCGTAAAGTATTGTGACGGAGTGAACTTCGCTAAATGTCAACAACGTCCTTCCCTAAGTGGGCAACCTGACTATCCTTCGCCAATGTGGTGAGCGACAATGTACGCGATCCAGAAGAAGAACCACTCAGGTATAGCAAAAACAGAAAAATTCCAGCTGTGTACAAACCACCCAAAGGAGAGACGAGATAAAATTCTCAATTCAAATTTTCTTTGCTGTGGAAGGAATTCTCCCTTGTTGACATGACAGGTATAAAGTACAGATGGTGTCTAGGGGGCGTAGCAACTCAGATGGCCGCGCGCAATCCGTCCTACTCTAACTGCGCGTCCGAATTTTGACAAGCGCTTGAAAATAAAAATGACAGGTTTGTATCTTTGACTCTGAAGATCCAGAAGCGGGTGTTATGAAGTTGAAGAACCCCTTGTATCCGCCGGAACCTACTACTCAAGCTTTACAAGTAGATTCATCTAATTAAGCATTTTATAAGAACAACGTGAACACGAGCGTTCGGCGAATCGGAACAATTTCATCCTCTAGCCGGGGAGTGATTGACGGGCCTCGTCTTGGACACTCGCGTGCGATTGCCACTTTTTGGGCCCATACACCTGGCGTAGTATTTGGCAAAGAGGTATCGTACTACGGGTCTGACATCTTCCGCCACCTTGATCATGAGGAAGAAGATCATTCTGTACCCGATCACCATGCCGAAGATAACGGCCAGATTCTGCCACTTGGTGCGACTGCGCTCGATCTGATACTGCTCGTAGACAATGAAATCTCCCGTGAGAGGAGGCCCGATGGGCCGACCGTTGTAGACAAAATTCTCGAACGTCAGGCCCAAGAAGTCGTTTTGGAACAATCCCTGCGCGTGCCAGAGGTTTCCGTATTAGAAATGCATCACAACCCTGAAGACCCTCGTCCCTCGTCAAGCTTTAAAAAAGCACCCAAGTTTGAAGGCTAAGCCCCGGAGTGAGCGATTTACCTCGAGAGAGTACATGTCGAAGCTGATATAGAACATGGGGTACCGCCAAACAGGTTTAGGCAAGTCGTTCGGCAGTCTGAAGTAGCCGGCAACGAGCATGAAGATTCCTTGGATTCCAGCTCCGGTGATGATGCCCATGAGAAAGTTAGGGACCACGCTGGCCACGGCCATCATCAGACTCTCCACGCATAAAACGCTGGAGAAGAGAATGAGGACGAAGTAGGCGAAGTGCTCGAATCCCGGGTGGAGTTGAACCATGAAGTACACGATTGAGCCGGACACTAACGAGATGAGGAACAGGTACGGCATCGATGAGAGCGAGTTGCCCACAACGAAGGCCGTCACTCCATAATGCCCGTTCAACCTCTCCCGGTAGAAGACCTGCAGTCCATCGTTACAAATTAGATTTCAGACACTCGACTCACAATCGCATGTTTCTTCAACCACTATCCACAGCGACAATCCTCTGCAGACGCATGCCCGGACTCAATCAAGGACCAACAATCTGCAACCCCATTGTTTCCATGCGGTGATGTGACGATTTGCGAGATTGGCGAGACGTAAGCGCTTTCGGTGGCGGGAACTATCAATGTGCAGAATCCGAAGGTAAAAGAGAAAGAAAAGTCTTGTACTATACCTTCATATCCTCGACGAAAGAAGGAAATCCACCGATGGACATGAATGTCAGGAAGCCTCCCACGTACGACATGCATCCTGCTCTTCCCTGAGGCAATTACAGACAGATTTCTATTCAGGACAGGCATTTTAATCACTTCGGCAAATATTGGTCAGCACAAAGCCTAGTGGTCAAGGCGATTAGCTTCAAAATATTGGGCGCTGTTCGCGCAAGTACTCTTTACTGAAAAAGCTATGGGTTCGAACAAATTCGGTCGGATAGGTAGACGTCACAACAAGGACCTGCTCTAGCAGTCTTCCCGATGTTTTCCCGCCTCCCTGACAAGGTCGTTGGCCGAGTTTGACTCAGAGGGCTTCTCCTAAGAAACACTCATCGAATTCGGTGCCAGACTTACAGTGTGAAAATCGTTTTACAACAACCCCCGGTGAATAGGCTCGGCACATTGTACGTATATTTCTTACAAACATTCCCATCCAGACCTCGTTTCCGGCTCTTTCTAGGCAGTACCAAAAAGCTCCATCACATAATTAATGAAAATAGACATATGTCCAAAACATTAATTCTCGCCATCTCCCATGTCAAGATAAAGGGGACGAAAAGAATGTGAGTCCATCCTAAGGATACGGTTCATCATGCTTCACGACAGAATACCGTGTCAGCACTTCGTGGGCATTTCGATTTCCAGCCCCTCACCGGGAAAGGGAATTTGCAAAGCATAAAGAAAAAGTTCGAATAAACGACTACAAAGCTGTGAAATGAACTTTTGGCAATGACGCATTGATCTGAAGCTGATCCGGTAGCGTCCAAGAGGCCTATCAACCACAACCACCAGGAAGGACAGGCGTATTATCGCCTCGCGAGGCTGATGTGACCGTATGCCTGGCTTCTGGTATACGCGTAAGCGTATACCAGAGGTTAAACTGCCGGACGTGACACTGCACGTGACGCAGGATGATCTCCACTCGGGTAGGGCCCGCCCGCCCGCAACCCGAGGGTCCACACTCGTTTGACTCGAGGAGACCGCGGTAAGGAAGGCGAGACCGACTCGGGATTCGAGACAGTACGAACCAATGGCGGTCGGGCGTAGGTGACCACAGTGTTCGAGATAATAACGCCGCGATTAATGCAGAGCGATCATTCATTCGAGTAGCCAGCGTCACCCCTCTATCGTCTGACAACGGCGGGAGAAGTCTCGAGGGAGGCGGCGGTGTCGGGAGCACGAGGAGCACAGGGAGGGACTGCGTTCTTTGGACAGAGTCGGGGCAAAATACCACCTGAGACGACTGCCCTACGAAGGGAATGTGCAGTCCATGATCGAGATCACGGAGTATGTTTAAGTTCTAAAAATTCGCCTGGCGTGTCCTGGAGCTCGCAAAGAAACGAAAAATCTTCGTATTAAGCCAAAAATAGGTTCATATCCGTAGTAGACCTGGCAGAAGGTCCGGATAGCCCTTCTACGAAAGAGCATAGCCTTCTGCTCGAGGCGGACTCTGACAGCCGCAGCACGAACTGATGTTGCAGAGTGAGAGTTCGGGGAGTGGATGATAAGTTGGACGGTGAGGGAACGAACTCAAACAACACGCGGCCCACGTACGACCGAATAGGTGATCTAACGCAGAGTGAGTGAATACTAACCAGAATTGCACCAAACTCGTTGCCGATGTTGAAGTACATGGTCCCGATGCAGACGGTCAGCAAAATGTAGACTGCCAGACGCAGCCAATAATAACCAACGTCCCGGTACATATTTACAAAGGACCTCTTCGTTAAGACGTAGGCCTGGGTGAAGAAGCTCGCTTGACTTCCTGTTCCTTCGAGCAGCGGCCCTTCCTTCAGGTCCGGAAGAGAAAAGCATTATTAGCTAAACAAAGCATTAGCAGACACGAGAATGAGAAGATCCTATCGTGTGCATGGACTTCCCGACTAGACTAGACTCGACAAACTTGCACTTGTGAGAAACGTGAAATACCTTCTGGTTGATTTCGTGAACTTTTTGCGAGACAATTTCCGCAAATTCTGATACGGCGAACGTCTCGATCAGCATCCCCACAACTTCCGGAGTTGAAAGCTTGTCCACGTTGTACGCGCTCTCCAAGTCCTGCTAGAGTAGAAGTCAGAGTCAGGTCGGCGAAGTCGAGGGAAGAATTGTAGAACAGAAATCGCAACCTCCACAACATTGTCCGATGGACGAAGATAAATAACTAATAGAAGCGCAAACGTCGTGTACATCTAGCTGCGAATGAGCTCTACTTGAGGCAGAGAATAGAAGAATCGGACTGCTCGTGTACGAACCCTGGATTTCATGAGCTGGCCGGATTTCGAGCCTGACATTGTCATCTTCATGGTGTCGAAGTCTGAGTTTACGCAGCGGAGGAAGTGATCGGAAGGACTTCGGAGGGCAGGAACGGGGAATCCAGCTTGTTCAAAGAGCTGTAACGAGGGGCATTCACGAAGCAGTGTTAGAGACAGAGCTCTACATCGACAGTCAATGAGAACAGAACTGCATACATAATTCGGCGACGTACGTGCCGTTCAAACGGAAGATCCCTTCATCATGCAAAATTAACGAAGGGGACTGGAGGTGGAAGGAAAGAAGTCCACCTGACGAGCAGAAGCAGCCTCCCCGAAGTAAATTTGATGTCCATTAGACAACAGGCACAGGTTGTCGAAGATCTCGAAAGTTTCGCTGCTGGGCTGGTGGATGGAGGCAATGACTGTTCTTCCATCACGGGCCAGCTGCTTCAGAGTGGTGACCACGAAGAAGGCGGCTGCACTGTCCAGCCCACTCGTAGGTTCATCGAGGAAGAGCAAACGAGGGCGGGTCAAGATTTCGAGCCCAATGCTCAGACGTCTTTTCTCACCACCGCTAAGTCCTCTAAGGTGCCAGTTGCCGATGTAGGTGTTCTGACAGTCTTGCAATCCCATCTCCACGATCGTGCTCTTCACAATAGCTTTCCTTTCCGCAACCGGCATGCTTCCGGGTAGCCGCAATCTTGCTGAGTACTCAACAGTTTCTCGAACTGTGAGCGTTCCGATGAGCTCATCCACTTGAGTAACATAAGCCTGAGGGTGAGGAGAGCGACGGATAAGTTAGAAGACAAGGTATACAGCAAGCTCAACGATATGAAAAACCGATCAGGAAGTTTTCGCAAAATCACTTTGCTGACGGCTGCAGGAAGGAAACTCTCGATGCCCAGGAACGATCCATACAGGACATTAAAAGCAGGACCGAGGTTCACGTGTCCACACTGAAGGGGGAAGAACAAAAGATGCAGGTGCAGGTAACAGAGAGTGAAACCTACAAGTAATAGTTCTCGGGTGAAAGGTTGAGTCTGATGTTCGACAGTCAACAAGCGTACTTACAGCTATCCCGTACGAAAGAGTCGTCTTGCGGCGACCGTTGAGCTTGATATCTCCAGTAAGTCTCGCGTTCTTTGCGAGTCTCCCTGAAAAAAGAGAGAAGACATTAAGCCAAATCGCGACTCCTTGCAGGGCTGGCAGTTGCCACACATTCGATATCATCCGTGCGTAGTAGAGTTTGAGTTTGTGACTATGTACCTGCCAAAGAGTCCAGCAGTGTTGATTTTCCAGAACCTGAAGGTCCCATAATGGCCAGCATAGCACCCGGTTCTGCATACCCCGTCAAGCTGTGGAGCAAAACTTGGTTGTCCGATTTGCTACCCACGGCGACCTCCACCCACAAATCTTTCCACGTCAATCTTGCAGGCATCTCCGTTACAGCTTCCTTCTTTTTCTTGTTGCAGTTCCAAACACTATTGCTGAGAGGGCTCAGCCCTCCAGGAGGCATCTTCGTGCCTTTGCTACCGATGCCATCGTTCGAAGAGCCCACCTTACCGATCTCCACTTGGCTAGTCAACACCATCGTCACTTCCTGGAATGAACGACGAGACTCAGAGCAACGAGGTCAAGTAGTCGTCTTGTGTACAACCTTACACAGGCCAAACCTGCCCGATGGCGCTCAAGAGTAAATCAGTTTAAGGTCTTCGTGGGTAACACGGCAAACATGGACGGTACTCGCTGATAGTCGTTACAGCTCCTTTGATATCTGATCATATTCACGACAATCCTTCGGAGTCGTCCCTTCTGAATGCATGCAAATCTGAAGAGTAGACAGTTCCTCCCCCGACGTTGCAGCGGAACTCGTCGTCCTCGAAGCTCTCTGCTGGAGTCTGTTGAGCTACCAGACAGTTCGTGAGCAATACAATGCACTCGACAACGATATATCACGTACTACTGCCACTGCGGCGGCCGACTGACAGACAATCTACGAAGGAATGGTGGAGCGATCTCGGGAGGGTCCACCTGCATGGGCCGAAATGAAACTCAACCTTACTACGTCAAGTAGTCGACTGCGAACTGCGCGGTGCAAATACGTAGCAACTGGGCTGCGTCGACTCCTGTTTCTTCCGCAGCTGCAGACTAGACCTAGAGCACTCTGCTCAAGGACATAAATGATCCTGCTGCTGCCAGTCAGACCTTAAACCCTCCCTCACCCTCTGCAAACTCTACTGTCACTCATAACTCGACCCATCACTTACTCCTGACTCGGTAAGGAAAAAGAGGCACCCGGCGAGGCCCAGATGCTGTGCCTGTGGCCCCCGGTGACAGCTACCAAGTTAAGTTTTGACTACACCGTATCCGTATACCAAGTGCGTCAGCACTTAAAAGGCCCCTCATAATACGGTTACTGAGGACTGAGGTTACAGTGGAGTCAGTGGAGTGAAGTGGAGTGTACAGAACTGTAAAGAACTATCACTGCCACTGCACTCGGTATTAATTACCATATGCGGAGTCCGCCGCCAGTGGACTCTACGGTCCCTAATATACCGTAGAGTATAGTGGGCTGCTGACAGAGTCTGCCCCCATTTCACCGACTGTAGCCCGCTCCCTTCCCCCAGTTCTCAACACCAACGGCGGTAAGTTTCGCTTGCCCTCCTGCTTTCGCCACGTGTATGCTCGCAGACCGGCAGCAACGCATGTAGTTTCGTGATCTACTGACGAGGCTAGCGATCAGATCTCGAGATACTGCCAGAGCCAAGGACGTTGATGTGGGTTTCTCTTTTAGGACATACACATATAGAAAGAGCAATTTGATCTATCTGATACTCTTGGCCTCCTTTTCTTTTCCTTTCGGTGTTCTGTTTTTATCGATAAGTCATGAAATAGAAAAACATAAGTCAATTTGTCCAAATCTTTTCAGCTTTGTGCTATTTACTTGGCCCCCGTTTTGTCTTTTCGACGTTGTGTCGCCTACCTATGATATCATTACTATTTAATACACACAACTTGACTATGTTCTCTGCGATCTCTCCAGCTGATGCAAGTTTGGGTAATTACGGTCGGTCTGATCCTGTCATGGTAACTAGAACATTCCGGACACAAGTCGCTCAGGAGTCTGGACTAGCGAAGACCTAATTCCCCCTTTAGAAGACCAGTTTGAAGTGCGTTGGATCGAGTTTTGTTTGGCTGCACGTAATGGCATGAATCTTACTGGATTTTGCATGGACTGGACACAGCAAGTGGATAAGCTCTTTTGTAGCAATGTCGCGCCCGTCAGTGCTGAAATCTTGTTCTGTTCCCCTGGTCGTGTTGTAGGGTCCGATCTTGTCACATTATATTAATTCTTCAATTCTGATACAAAGTACCAGCATCCACAACTCAACTCTATCTCCCCAACTGTGCTCAGCACTTGTCTATCTACATAGAACATCATTCTTAAGCGTCGCAACGCGTACGACCCTGACGTCCAAAGGAAAGAATCTTTTAGCCAACGTCAGCATCATGATCGAATTTAGCGTTTTGCTCCCAAGTTAAAAACAAAAATCCAACCTGTTATCGGTGTCTCACTTTCCTATCTACTCAAAGTGACTCTGAGGAGAACAAAGACAACAACATGGTGCAACATGCTGCGATCGATATGGACCTCTGAACTTGATTCTATCTTGAAATACATTTTGATATATTACTAGTGTACGGTCTTAGACTAGAGAATAATTTCCCTTGTAGCTTTTAAAGGCTTTTTCCCATGATATACGAAATTACCATTTCATGATCTCCTGCGCATGCGGATATGAATGACGACAAAAACAGTTTATGTTATTTGAATATGAAGACATGGATATATTCAAATTTGAATAAGCTTTGTGATTTACTATCGATTATTATTGTATGATCACGATACCTAAAGGCAATTCATGACTGTCTCTCATGCATGTTTACTTCTACCAAAATGGTGATTTTATTAATTTCAATTTTCTCAAATTGGACTTCCAATTATTTTCCATCTTACTATAATCTATTTTCTCCTTGCATTAATGATATTGAAAACTTGTTGAAAAACGACGGAGCTTGAAATAAAAATCTAAAATTTTCTAATGATCTAGCATTTTCCTTTTAACATTTTTTATGTTAGGTGGGGTTATAAGGAGACGGAATTTTTCATTTATAAGATAAATGACATAATGTCAAGGGATTATCTATCTTCGGATTGATTGGTGTTCATGTGTTTTTTTAGTAATCAAAGTATCTTCATTTGCGTGAGAATAGAGAGCATTGAAAACACGTTTTGATTTTAAAACTCAATAGGTTTGCAACATGATATCAAAATTTCAATTTCTCTCGAATTTACGTCCATAGTGTTTAGATTGGAAAGCATTGAAATCAAAATTAGAAAACCAATAAGATTGTATATACACTGATCATGTCCAGCAAAGTACAACAATATAAACTAATGTTCTTATTATACTGACCTACTTTTCTTTTTCTCTTATCCTCCATGTTCCAGTCTATTGGTGAAAGATGAATATATGTGAAGCATACAGGTAAAATGAATTCATATGATTGCGGCAACTTATGAGAAAGCAAATACGTTAGTTTTTGATTATTTGGATGATGTTGACTCTTCAATAAATATATACTCAATGTCTTAGGTGGATTATGACATATTTCATAGGTGATGCTATTGGAGTCTTAATTAATCTTTGACTCTTGGTTTCATCCATGTAATACATTACAGGTATTTCCCATCCTTTGCTGTGTTACCCTTGTGCCATCTGCATCCCTCCTTATTGCCCTGGGAAAGTTGGGGAAAATAAGGGAAAATATTCGATTATGGGGTTTGACAGTATATGTAGCCACCTCTGGGTAGGGAAAGTCAATTTCTGTAGCTTTTATATCCGCAATTATATCGAAGACTATAACTCTAGAATCAGATCTCAAAGGTTTGCTAGACGCCGGAGAACTAAATTGGGAACTTCACTGCTGGGGAAAATAAATATCCCCAGCAGTGAAGCTGTTAGATGTTAGAGCAATTGATGTAGAAATCATGAGTAGTCGATCAGTACTCTCCGTTAGATGCAACTATGGAGGAACAACTGAACAGCACATCGATTAGTCGTTAACAGTAATTAGAACTATGGTGGATGTAGGCTTTGTTGGTTCTATAAGAGTCCACCTCAATAAGTGGAATATTTTTGGGAAAGATTGAAGAAAAGGCTATGCAAGAAGAAGACGAAGAAAAGGCTACACAAATTTCTCTTAAATCTCGTTGTTTTCGTCGAGACAAACAATCCTCCCACTTAGGGCGGCCTCATAGCTTAGGGCAAAAGGCTACGGTGTGGTCTGCTTGGCCCTGGGTTTACACCAGCGGGTGACCCCGACCCGCCCCCTTCTTTTCTACAGACTGGTGCCCTCTACAGCGTACTAGGGCCGATGGGAGACTTTATGTGCATAAATTCGCAATAGGAAACCTACCGTCGTGTACCATAGATGTAAAGTTGGGATGCGTTTCAAGCCTTTTTAATGATCGGGATTGTCGTCGGAGCTCAACGCATTTTGCGACAATACATTCTTCATACCAAGACTGAGTCTCTTAGAATGATGGCTCAACTTAAATCTTGTGCTTAATGGTGAGGAAGTAAGGATCGCCAAGGTCGTCATTAAAATCAACACGAACTCGCATTATGCATCTGTCTTAGATCGAGCGGTGAGCTCGATCTCTTTTATGGATACAGGAATAATTTGCTCGAGGGAGGGTTTATATTTTGATGAGCAAGGAGAAACTTTATTTCTAGATGCAAAGTGATCTTGAAGAGACAATTTTGTGTTGAGGTGAAAGTCAACCCGGCGAGGAATTGTGCGCAGAAAGTATTCTGTTAGACCGCTAAACTGTACGAGATTTGACATCACACTACTCGCTTAAACAAATGCTATTTTATCACCAGTTCAGGAACTTCTTAGCATTGATATAACTCAATATATGTTACATATCATGATTCGGTGTTGGGATTACCTCAACCGCACCTTCCTTTTCTTCTTCTACGGTCAATTATTCGGAACCAAGCTCTACTGTGTTTTTTTTTCCTTGACTAGAAGTTCAACAAATTCGTTAAGATTTTCATGGATAGAGAGGGCAATGGAAGGTAAACTACATAGCTGGCTTTTGAGTCATCTGTGACTCTTCCATGCATAACTATCCTCGAAGTTTTCTTAGAGTTTCCTTCATGGAGTAATAATGTAGGCTGTATCTTGTCGGATGAGGAAATCTATGACCTAGAAGGACGAAGTGAGATGTCTCAGATCATCTCGACAGGCCTACGTCTCAAATGACCTCCAGATCTCTACGTATGGTTGGCAAGAATCACAATCAAAATCTCGTCAAAGCATGTGACAAAGTAATAGGATGTCCTTCATTCATTATCCGTAGATGAGTTGGACAAGCTGAACATGTGAAATTGTGGAAGATCACAACAGAAATTTGTCGAGGGCGTGAGAAAGTAAAAATACTGTTCCTTTAACTTAACTGTTGTTTCAAATTTTTGCCTGCAGCTTATGGCAGAACCAGATGTGAGAGTTCAAAATCTGACAACTATACAGACGCTCTTGTATGTGGAATCGCTCAAAACTTTCGAGCTACCACAATAAGTGTTCAAAAGTGACACGTTGGTTCCTTAACTCCCCAGGTCAACGTGAAAATGCTTTCAACATCTGTCCACCCTGCTGTCTCGCGCATTCATGACATAAATTATTCCTTTTCAACGACTTTTGTCGCTATTGGAGAGCAGACGGCCATTTGCCTCCATTAATCAGACTGCAATGTCACATGTCATGGGGACGCCGGACAAACGGCAAATGTTTTGCTGATACAGTAACAGATGGACTCCCACTCTCCTCATTCCCTGGGGAGCCTTCAGAAATCATTCTAGGCGATCCAACAACGAACGGTGATCCATGATCCTACAGGTTCGAACACCGATGTTGTGAAGCCACTTGTTTCAGTAGGTATACTATAATACTAACCACCTCAAATCCGATCCATGGTCTCTGACTGGAAGATTATTTCAGACAGTCCCTTGATTTCACCATCTACAGTGCGTGTCTCCAAATCTTCACTCAAGATCATATGATGAAAATAAACCATTTATCCATTCACGAT